GCAGCCACAGCTTCTCTGGGCAACCTGTGCCAGTGCCTCAGCACCCTCACAGGGAACAATTTATTCCTATCATCTAATCCAAATCTCTCCTCTTTCAGTTTAAAACCCTTCCCCCTTATCCTATCACTATCTGCCTGTGTACAAAGTCACTCTCCATCTTTTTTATAAGCTTCCTTTAAATATGAAAGGCATTAAAAAAATTTCCTGCATCAAAGGAAACATCGGGAGCTGGTGAATTAACATATAAAAGTGGGGGAATTTCACATTCAATACTACACCCAAATCAGAGCCAAAGCCCCTCCTGTTTATCCCCTGGGGTACTGAACTGCCATCCAGAACGGAGTGAGGGCTGAAGGAGGAGGCTTGTGCCCCTCTGTGGGCTGCCAAGCAGCAGGTCACCAGCCAAAACCTACTCTGCTGATACTCTGCTGCCAGCAGCACATCGAGGGAAGAAGCAGGAGAGCGGAAAATGCTGCCGCAGCCTTAGGGGGAATAACTCATGTGCATTTCTCCAGCAGGGCGAGAACAGGCAGGCTCAGAATCCAACCCAGGAGCAAACCCAGAGCATGCAGATGCAGCTGGTTGCAAGCCCAGTGGGTGTGAGGAGCATGTCAGTGCTCAGGGAGTTCCCCAGCCCCCCCAGAGCCTTACGTTGATGATGATGTTGAGGGAGTCGTCGTTGGGAAGGAAGATGCAAACACTGCGTCGGTCCTGCATGACTCTGTTGTTGTGGAAGGTCAGTTTGTTCATCGTGGTCTGGGCTCGGGGCTCGGGGTGGGGTGGGGGCAGCACCTCACCGGTGGGATGGGGTGGCCTCGGTCCCCGCGGGTGCCATCCCTGCAGGAGAGAGAGGAGCTGAGCCCTGTGTGGGCACCCCCAGCCCCACACACCCCACTGCAGGCATCCTTCCCACCCAGCAGAGCTTCAGAGGATGCTAAGAGGTTGGAATGGAGCTCAGAGATCATCCAGTGCCAACCCCCTGCCCTGGGCAGGGACACCTCCCACCAGAGCAAGTTGCAAAAAAAAAGTGGTGAGGCAGCCACCATGGCCCTGGGCAGCCTGTTCCAATGTCTCACCACCCTTATAGTAAAATACTTTTTTCTCGCATCCCACCTAGACTCTCCCTCCTTCAGTTTAAGCCCATTACCCCTTGTCCTATCATTGCAGTTTCTAACACAGAGTCCCTCTCCATCTCCCTTGCAGGCCCCTTCAGATATTGAAAAGTTGCTATGAGGTCTCCACGCAGTCTTCTCTTCTCCAGGCTGACCAGCCCCAACTTTCTCAGCCTGTCCTCATAGGGAATGTCCCCCCAGTAGTGGGACGTCTCCCCAGAAGTGAGATGTCCCCCAAGCCCCCTGAGCACACCACAGCCACCCCCATCCCAACCCCGGCGCCACGGTTAGTGCAGGATCACAGCCCAGCCCAGAAAACCTGAGCCAGCAGTTTTATTCTCCCAGCTTGCGTTCAGAAAAACCTCAGGAAAAGCTTTCCTGGCATAATTGAAATAAATAAAAGTGTATCTGCTGGGAACAACCCAGAAGGTTGCAGGCTGCAGAAAGGCAAGGAGATGGTGTGGGGTCCCATAACAGGACCCCCACATCCCTTCCTGTATCATTCCCAGCAGTTCTGACTCTGACTCTTACTGGGGTTAAATAAAACAATCCAAGCACTAACAGTGATTTGCAGATGGGAAATTCACAGCTGGTGAATCCATCCTAGCACTGACCCCAGGAAATTCTTATTTCCAAGGGTGAATATTCCTTATGTACCTTTTACCCCAGGACCATCCACAGGGACACAAATTCCCACATGACACCACAAGCAAGGACCTTTAAACTCTAAACTAGTTCAGCCTAACCCCCAGATTTATGCTGGCACCAGGACAGCAGAGTGTCTCCCTTGTCGCCAAATATTTGTTTTGGTCTAAATGGAGATGCCTTTGGCTTCTGAACCCCTGGAACTGCATATTTGTGCAGCAGGAAGAAAGTGCCCTGAGGTGACTTTTTGTTGGAGGTTACTGGGATTTTGCAGAAGTTGGGAAATCCAGAGGTCATGATCTCTCATCACGACAGCGCTTTGGGTTTCTACCACCAACGCTGCACTGCATCCATGCATTGCATCCATACATTGCATCCATGCATTGCATCCATGCATTGTGATGGTGGATCATGGCCATGGATCAATCCTGGGCACTGCATCAATGCATTGTGGCATCCATACATGGCATCCATGTATGATGGCCATGCATCAATCCTGGGCACTGCATCCATGCATTGCATCCATGTATGATGGCCATGTATCCATCCTGGGCACTGCATATACACATTGTGACCTCCATGCACAGTATCCATGCATCACAGTTGTGCATCATGGCCATGCATGCCATCTATGCATTGCATCCATGCCTCGTGGTGGTGTATTGTGGCTATGTATTGCATCTGGGCATCATGAATGTGTACTGCATCTATGCATTGTGGTGGTGCATCATGGCCATGCATCAGGGTTGTGCATGGCAGCTGTGCATTGTGGCCATGTATGGCATCTAGGCATTGCATCCATGCATCATGGCCATGCTTCATGGCCATGCATTGCACCCATTCATTGTGGTGGTGCATCATGACATCTACACATTGCATGTGTGTATCATGACCATGCATCGTACCTACACACTGCATCCATGCACTGTGGTGGTGCATCATGGCATCCAGGCATTGCCTCTGAGGATTATGGCCATGCATGGCACCTACACATTGCATCAGGACATTGCTGTGGTGCATCATGGCCATGCATCAAGGTTGTGCATGTCATCTGTGTGTTGTAGCCATGTATGGCATCTATGCATTGCATGTGTGTATCATGGCCATGTATTGCACCCATGCCCCGTGGTGCTGCACCATGGCATCTATGCATTGCATCCATGCATCACAGCTGTGCATCATGGCCAAGCATGGCATCTCTGCATAGTATCCATACATTGTGGCCATGCATTGAGTCTGTGCCTTGCCCCAAGCAACCTGGCCAAGTATCACATCTGTGCTCGTGCCTGTGTTGGCTAAGCACCGTGGCCATGCCCAGACAGGACTGATCTGGCTGGGAGCAAACAGCGCTGCGGCCAGTGTGGTTTCAAGGTTCATTACAGATCCCAGCGGTGAACGAAACGGGGCTGGAGGTACTTGGCATATGTCCTGGCGCCTGGCAGCTTCCGTGCACCAGCACAGGGAGGGCAAGAGGTGACCTGCATGGCCCATGGTGGGGAGGGCACAGTGTCCCTGGCAAAGCAGCTCTGCCCCAGGGCACTCTTCAGCACCCTCCGTGCCCTGCTCCCACCCAAAGGCCTCCTGCAGCCCCAACGGGTGCTTGAGAGCATCTTCCCATCACAGTGTCGTGCTCAGAGGCACAACCCACTCTTGAGTTCCTTCATCGCTGGGAGGTTATTCTCTGCTGGGCATTGCCTCTCACCCAGAGCTTCCCCCAGGCACCACAGTGCTCTTAGAATCCCTGATTGGTTTGGGTTGGAAGGGACATTAAAGATCATCCAGTTCCAACCTCCTGCCATGTGCAGGGACACCTTCCACCAGCCCAGGTTGCTCCAAGCCCCATCTAATCTGGCCTAGAACACCCCCAGGGATGGAGCAGCCACAGCTTCTTTGGGCAACCCGTGCCAGTGCCTCATCTCCCTCACAAGGAAGAATTTCTTCCCAATAGCCCATCAACCCCTGCGCCCTGGCAGTTTGAAGCCATTCCCCCTTGTCCAGTTACTCTGGCATCCCAGGGCTGTTCATCCCCACAACAGTCACTGTATTTCCTCCTGCTCCTGCAGCCTGGATTGGTCCCAGAGCATCAGGGATAAAACCACAGGAGCTGGCACCAGCAGAGCACAGGCATTGGAAGGAAAGAAGACCCAAACCATATATTTTGGTGTTTATACAGAAAACACTCCAGTTCCTGCTGCTGGATGAGAACATTCCATCAGCCAGCCACATAGGGACGATCCCTATGGAGTGCCCCCTCACTTCCAGGAGCTTCCCCAGGGGCTGTGCCAGCCCTCAGAGCTTCACAGATTTAGCAAGCAGGCACACAAAGCCCTTTCCAGGGTGCTGTGCCTCCAGCAGCCTCAGCCAGACACTGGCAAATTCTTTCCAAGCATCTGCTGCTCATTCCGACAATGTCAGCTTTGATTCCCTGGGACCCTGTGCCACTGCCCGGTGGTTTCTGCTCCAGTGCAAGCATTGATATGAGGCTCAGACATAGAATCATGGAATGGTTTGGGTTGGAAGGGACCTTTAAAGATCATCTAGTCCAGCTTGGTCAGCTCCAAGCTGGAATGAGCCTGGATTGCAGGGAGAGCCTATCTGGAAGGCCACACAGTGGAGGGGGTGACACAGGTCACCCACAGTCCCAGCAGGGGAATCTCCACCCTGGGCTGTTTTCCACCCAGAAAGTAAAGCCAGCTGGAAAAAAACACTGGGAAAGAGGACTTGGGCATGGATCAGCCTCTGCAGTGCCAGGAGATCCAGGTCTCCCAGCCACAATTTCCATGGCATAGTGCATTAAATCTCCATAGGAAGGCACTGCAAACTGCTTGTAACTCCAGAGCGTTGCAGAGAAAACTCCTTGATCTGCTGTGGTTTCCAGCCCAGGCTGCTGGAATACTGTCTTCCTCCCTTGTAGCAATGCCATGGGATAAATCCTGCTGCAAAGCTCTGCTGCAAAGAAAACATCAGGCACTAAACCTGCTGCTGGGAAAAGCAGCCGGAGCTGTCGCTGCTGACTCGGCGAGGGATTTATCCATCCCGGGGTCCTGCAAACAGGGATGAGGCCAGGCAGAGCCTGGGATCCATTCAGAGATGCTGGAGCAGCATTCCAGGCTCTCCTTGGAAATATAAACTTGAATGTAATTCCAGGCTGGGGATTTAACATCACTTGAACTTGCAGGCTGACGTGATGTTTCCTTCTGAGCGTGCAGATTCCATGGATGTGAAGCGATGCTGGATGCATGTCCAGAATTTTTCCCTCTTCCATGTATTTATTATGTTTAAAAGACGCCGAGAGGCTCCATCCTCGTGGGTTTGGGTTGGATTTGTACCCTCATGGTATCCATCAGACATCACTGCCCCCAGCTCAACCCAGCCATGATTCCCAGCCTCCAGGCAGATCCAGCCCACTGCTCCATCACACAAATTCATCCCTTCCTTGCCAAAATATCCATTTAAAAAATCTGCCTTATCAAACATCTCCATCCCTGGAGGGATTTAAAAGCCATGTGGCACTTGGGGACATACATGGTCAGCGGTGGCCTTGGCACTGCTGGGGGAATGACTGGACTCAGTGATCTTAGAGCTCTTTTCCAACCTAAATGACTCCAGGATTCCATGATTCTAACCCACCACCAGGCTTTTGATCCAGCCCTCCTGAACCACAACAGGGGTGAGGGAAGGGATCCAGCACAGGACCCACACGTAGGCACAGGCCATCCCAAAGCGCAGAGGGAGATGGGAAGATGAATTCCCAGGGCAGGAATTTCTTGTTTTCAGGAGTTCAGAGTGGGTTTCCCCCACATCACAGGGCACAGGTATGCTCAGAGCTGTTATTACAAGTTTCAGGCCAACACTTAATGCAGCTTCTCCTATCCCAAAATCCAAATGAATTCCTGCTTGTGGTTGCCCTGTAATTAAAATTGTCTCCAATTCTTCATGAACTCAACAGTTTCCTCCTAATGAAGAGAGGCAGATGAAAGAGACCTTCACTGG